TTAACTATAAGCATCTGACTTTCCGCATTTGTTAAGGTTTGAACATTATCACCATCTAAAACTTGAGGTCATATGTATTATTTATATTAACAATTGCTTCTATGAATAAATGGCCGTTAAAATTTACCACTATTTTCCAAATTTTTGATTAAAGTTGCAAAGTTTAAAGTAATTAAATTTAAAAATGAGCTTTAAAGTCTTATTTAAATTTTGCTTTCTGAACTTGTATAACTTCTATATTTGTACCCGTACGAACGTATGTTCGAAGGGTATATTAAATTTGCCTTACCGTTTGTAACTCTAAGAAATAATTGTCTGAGACATAGACTCGAGTATATGTTTTTGATGAGCGTCTAGTTCTGAGTCGATTTAGCTTGTCTGTTCGTTTGTCCGTCTGCCAGTCTGCCAGTCAATGAGTCAGTCCGTCCTAATGATTTAACAAAAACCAATTGAACTAAGTTCACCAAGTTTTCACTAATGACTTATTATAGTAAATACCAGAACCCTACTTAAATTGGTTATGATCATGGTACTGGTTCGAATAGCTGCATTTACTTCAAAATAACTTCAAAATTTATTTGACTATATCTTAGAAACTATAAAAGTGGTATTGAAATTTCGCACAAGTTTTTGTTATTGTTAGGTAAACAAAATGAGCTTGAAAATCATATATAGTATTTTACAGAAAGAACTGAGGCCGAGGATAAAAAGGAGCAAAGTAATAAAACGCAACTTGTTTCACTTTTGAAAAATCAGAATGTAGTTTTATATAAAATAAAACTTTAGTTTTTGTTTTACAACTTGCTCTTGCCTTTTTTGCAGCTTCTGGTTGCTTTCATTACTGCTGAAAAAAGTGATCGAAATTTTTCCTTAAGCAAAATATACCTTTCACATAAATTTAAATTCATTACAAACATTTTTAAACTATTGGATACGTAAAATATGAATTAAAAATTTGTAAATAACGCATTTCGTATTCTGGTAATAAAACATTATGAATGCTTTTCGTTTTTTTAATAAATAAATTGAAATATCTTTGTGATGGTAGTTTTTTTAAAACTACAGTTTAAACTATTGAAAGTCTATGAGAAACATTTTAATAAAAAATATATTGATGATATTCCTCTTGTTGAATACAAATTTGAAGTGGAAAATATTAAAACCTTTAATGTGGATTCAATATGCATAAAAACTTAGCCAGATCCATGAAGTCATATATTTTGTTTATACTAAATCTGATCATAGTCACTCATTTGTTTGATATTGATCAAAGTCATACATTTTGTTTATACTTCATTCAACCGACGGAATGGTGCAAGTTAAATAATTTGAAATAATTAATGCGTGGCTAACAAATTCTGAATTGACTTATTAATATTTTTTTAAAATAATTGTTACAAGTATATGCATTAATGCGTCATATACTATATGCATTATATACTTCATCATCACTATATTTAAAACATTTAAATAGTAAACTATAAGATGTACATAAATGCAATTATAAAATTTGTTGAAAATTTTAATTAGTTCGGGCATATAAAATTGAAAATATTAACAAAATTGCATTAAATACAAAATTAATATCATGAATACCGAAAAAATTCGTTTTATGTGATTCACTTAGGATTTCGTAGAAAATGGGATGTTAAAAAGAGCATTTTATTATGTTAAACATAAAGGGACATTTCATTTTAAATTGATAAAGCGACAGTAATATCCATTTGATTAGAGACAAATTAGACTGAAATCCACTAAATTAATGACTTAAACTCGTAAAAGTTATTACATTTATAATTTTTATATTTATTTATTTATTTATGTTCAGATCAAACATTTTACAAAAACTTAAATTAATATTATAAAACGAGATTTATAACAAATATAATAATATAATATATATATATAGTATATATATTATAAAACTTGTAGGTATTCCTTTTGTTTTGATAAAATGTTCAAGGATTTAGAAAAAAAATTTGACCAATGTGAGTTTTGGTGATATTCACATACATATATAATATGTCCACCTGTACGCAGTGCATTTACCTGTTTACAGAATTTTCATACATATAAAACAGAAAATTTCAAAATTTCGCATTAATAGAAAATGAAAAGAAAAGAAAGGAAAATATCACAGATATACAGAAAAGTACATGATTGAGACTGAAAATAGCACAAATTAACGCAAAAACTCAAATACATGTGCACAATGTTATTTATTGTTTGATACGAAATTAACAGGAGAAAAATACCTCTCAAATTTCAAAAAGAAAAAAATAATTTAAAGAATTTTTTTTAAATAAGTTATAAAATATTTAATTTTGCAATTAATTATATCATAACAATTAAGTTTGTGTTATATTTGGATGATTTTTAAGATAAAATTTCATTTGAATAAAAATTCAGCATACAACTGCCCGCAGGTTTAAAATATTGCGCAAGATTAATAAAATGCCCTTTAAAAGATTCTTTTTAATTTTAAAAACGCTAGTAAGTTTTTAGTTAATATACCTAGATGTAAATTGGATTCCCAATATAGTTTTATTTTATGTAATTTGAATTTCGTAAAAATTTCACTAGTCAGTTTCGGTAGCACTTAAATAATAAATATCAAGAAATGGCGCCAGTTAATTTCTTAGGTATGATAAAGAATGTAAAGTCGGGCCCCAGTTCGGTTTTTGATTTTGGATACTACCAAAAAAATTTAGTTCATGGTTTTAACACTCTGAATTTAAATATTACATTTCATATCGGTTAATTATTTATCTTTAAATGGATGAAAGGTTTAAATTTGGCCAACTGTAAAAATCTAAATACTAACGTCTGATTTCTTCCAAAAGCTCAAAATGTTCAGTTCCCGAGGCTTGATATATCTTAAAAGTGAATCAATTCGTGACATACCCAAAGTAAACTCATATATAAATTTTCTTATTTCCTATCATCATAATTTGTTTCCACCGACAATTTGATATACAGAATTTGGTGTCTTCGTAAATTTCTCTTATTGTATTTCATACGGTAAAAAAAATAAAAAATATTATAAGCCGTTTTGAAACAATGGCAAAAACAAAATTAGTTAACAATATATCGAACATCGGAAATGATGTGACAGTAGACCATATAATGTTATAAAGGTTGACAAACTCTTTTCTTATGGTAGTTAACAATTTGTTTCAACAATTTTCCGTAGATTTAAAGTTTATAGTTTTCCTATATGATAGGGCTTTTTTTTTAATAAACTAGTTTAATTAGAATTTCGATAATTAGAATCGACTTCAATACTTGTTCGGTAGGAAATTATGTTTTTTTATCCTACTTCGCTTCTTGGAGGAGCATAGGGCTGGTGCGCGATATTTTAGGTGACCATGAGCCAGTTTCTTACGTGATTGAGTTTATTAGGTGAGTGACAAGCCCACCGTAGTTTTTATATGAAATATTTAATGTTATTGATATTTATTGTTTTATTTTGCTGGTATTTTTTTTTCATTGAATATTATTGAAATATGGCAATTAGTTAATATTAATTTTTTATTTTTATATGTAATGTGAAAGCTATATAATATTGAATATAATTTTTATAGAGACCTGGGCTTTGAATCTGAGACCCTTCAGTTAAAGGACCAGTACAATAACCACTGCACTATTAGTTAGCTCATTACAGTCGTCAAAAATTACAAAATTTTATATTTTATATAACTTTATGTTTATTATGAATATATTTTTGAAGTTATCTTTTTACCTGAAAGTAATCCTGCTTCAACTAATATTTTAATTGAAGTAAAATTAAATTTCTTAAATCAAATTATGAAATTTCAAGTTATACATATATAAACTAAATCCAATAAACACCACTGTACAAACATGTTTCTCAACACCAATTTTTGAAATTCCGAAATATACGAGAAAATAAATATTCTAAAATAATTTAAATTTACAAAAGTTTGTTTTAATTATACATAAATAAATACTCTACGACACACAATAAGAACAAAAAACAAGCAATCTATTTGTTTATATTTCATGTGTGTTTCATTCTTTAAAATTATTTAAACATTTTACCTATGTATGTAACTATAACTGTTTTTTCTGTTACCAAAAAATATGATACAATGTAATAATATATGTAATTTTAAAAAATAACATTAAAATTAAGTAAACAAAATAATTTTCATTGCAATTCCATTAAAAATTAATCGTTTCCGTCAGATCATAAAAAACTTTAATGGTAGATAAAAATGTTTTGGAAAGACAAATTTTATTAAAATGTTTGAAAAAAAAATTATTTATTTTTCACACAACAATGTTCGAAGTTTTGTGCTGTTGAAATATTTTTGAACAATCACAAATAAGTGTGATTTTGAATATTAACAAATGACATAGGCGTCGAACATTCTACACTGATTGGAATATACATAATGCAGGTGCACAAATTCCGTAAGCAAATAATTTTTGAGAGAACTTATCTAATACCTTTAGAGTTTTTGTACATTCTTATGAGTTTTCTCCAGTTTTTTTTTAAGAAATAATATTTTTACTTCTCAATGTAAGTTTTTTTTTTTGACTAAGAAAAATTTGTTCTTAATTAATAAATAATATTTAAAAATGTCGAGTAGAAGTTTCAACTTTTTTACTGTGCTTCCTAGTTACATATAAGTTTTAAAGCGTAAACTTACAAAAATTGATACCAATCACGTCGAAAAATGAACTGCTGACTGAGGTCAGTTGGCGTCAGTAGCTCATATTTCAAAGTATAACGAACAGATTTGGAAAACTAAACGTTCACATTACATTTTTCTTTTTATGCCATACTTTTCAACTATATAATTTATTTTATATATACGTACGCACATGTTACTATTTATTACAAATATTAAATATATTTAACATGAAATATTTTCATTTTTCATACAATCCTAATTTAAATTAAAAATGTGATACTGATATTATCCAATTGATTTATGAGTAGATATAATATATTGTTTTTGTTTTAATTTCAGATTGGATGGGTAGTCCTTTTGAAAGAGTAGTTTGTGGTGACTTTAATGGTAAGTTTGATATTTATTTTTAAAAATTGTAAATTTAATTATATTTACTTTTATAATGTCCTGAATGACACATTTTGAGTAAATACATATAGTTAAATATGTTAGAAAATATATTGCTATTTAATAATCAATTACAATTTTATAATTATTGGTTATAAAATTGCAATCACCTGCATCGTATCTTTCATGAAATAAATTCATTTAAAAATAATTTCGAAACTGATAAAATAATAATTGAATTGAAAGCTTAAAAATGACAAAAAAAAAATAAATTTTGATTAATCTTAATAATCATCATATGTCCAAGAAAAGTAATTAATTATGAGGTCTTATAAGCAAAACATTGATTGAGACTGTTACATTAAAATGTAACAGCACAAAATTGAGAGAAATATTACGTGATCATTTCCTTTCAATTTATTTAATAATTTTAATGACAGAACAGAAAAATCGGGGAACCAGTTTAGGAATAAGGCTACTTTAAAGTACAACTTGTAACTTGAACAATATGAAACATTTTATTCCAAAGGAATAATGCTTTTACTAAGGTCTTTTTTCTAAAATTTTATAATTCTTTCTTGAGCTGTGTAGAAGTTTTGCAAACAACCAAAAGAATAAAAAAACGAATATGCGACCTTTTTTTGACATTTTTTTATATTTTTTCAACATTGCCAAAAGAAAATAAATTTTTAAAACTATTTTGCTAACAAGTTTTTACTTACTTTTAGTTGGGAGCTAGATGATTTTATATATTTTATTTTATTATCCACTTCTACACGGCCAGAAAATGAGGTAGCCTAACGTGTTGATTTGTTTTATTTCCTCTTAAAATGTGCTAATGCTCTTTATAGTAGTTTGCTATTAGAATTTATAAAATTGTTGTATGTATGTAGCTGATTTTAATAATCACTAGTGATAATGGTCAATTAATATTTAAAAATCCCGAATCAAATCATCTTATATGTGTTTGTTGATGTCTAAGTGAATCTTAAACTTAAAGATCAGCCTTTAAATAAAAATATTAAAAGAAATTTTAGTTACCATACTAAAAATTTTTCAACTTAAAATGAAGTGTCTAGTTGTGTGTGTGTGTGTTGTTATTTTCATATATATATCGATCTGTGTGCATGCATATTATATTGTATGTCTATGTCTATGTATTTATAATCATGTTACTAAAAATCTAATACTGACGTACTACATAGTCATCTTTTTATAAATAAAAAATTTGAGATAATATAAATCGAAAACCAAAATTTACTGCCCACACAAAATTAATTATTTCAAACCTGTATTCCGTTTATTACGATTTAAAACAGATAAATTTTCCAAATTGTAAGATGAAAACATACAGTAAAGAATTGAAATGTATACTGATCTTTCCCTAATTACATGGTCTTACATTTTGATGTGAGACAAAAGATAAGGTAATACATTTTAGCCTTTTCTGCTTTCACACTCTTGGTTTTCTGGGATCAGTGGTGGACTAGCTATTTGACTAATAAGAAAGACTTTCACCTCATAAAGATAATTTTTTATGTTGTTACATTCATGTATTAAGAACGTAAAAAAAATAATAATAACATAATAGTAAAAAGTAAAATTTTTGTATCCTTTCTTTTATACACTGTACTTGTATATTTTATATAAATAAGTATGTACTATGTATGTTTTTACATTGTGTATTGACACATGAGCAATGTACTCTATCTATTTTGGTCTTACACGTTCTTTTTTGTTTTCCTATTTTCAGTTAAAGGTGAGAATATCCCACCGCGTCTATGACTGAGCTGCTTTGATTTAAACAACAAAATGTTTACATGCAAACATTTTAGTTTCATTATTTCTAAAAAAAAACAATTGGAAGTCAGTCTGTTCAAGTTACGCAATTTAGAACGTGTTTTGTTTTTTATTTTGTAAAAAAATAAATTTATTGAACTTCGAGAAGCTTTTTTTTCTATTTACAAAGTTCAAACAATTATACTTCAATATTTTAGACCAAAATTATACTTTAATATTTACGAACATGTTTTCGTTTTCTGGACTAAAGTTTACACCTAACTGTTTCTACAATTCGAAACCAGCAAAAGCATAAGTAAAGAAATTCTGCATTTCTAAATATAATATAAAATGGCATTCAAAAAAGAGAAAATTCCGTCGATGTTTAGCATTATGTATATATTTTTACCAACCGCATTGTGTTTTTATTAACAAATTTTGCATATCGAGTTTCCATGGTAGGGATGTTTAAATAACCTATTTTAAGCAACCTGTCGGTCTGTCGGTCAGCGGTCCGTCTGTCTGTGTGTGCACACGTATATCTCAAGTTCGGCTGAACCGATTTTGATGAAATTTTATATGTAACTTTATTTCGACTATGGCACGGATTGATCAACTTTTGGGATTTATCAAACCTCGGGAACCGCTTTTTTAGCGGGACTGTTTTACATTTTTGATCATTATGAAGGAAATATTCAACAGATTTACTTAAAATTTTATATATAAGCTTCGCTCGACCGTCCGCGAAACTTTTCGAAGAAATCAGGCAAACTGGACGTTTGCTACGGACCAAACATACAATTTTGCGTATATAAAGAGAAATAATCAACCGATTTCATTGAAATGTAAAAATTAAATCCTTCGTATTAAAAGAATGAACATATAAATTTTTTGAAAAGATCAGGCCTCTGAAACTGATCTGAGGGCCAATTTTACATTTTTAGCACTTTTCCAAAAAATTTTTGAAAAAAAAGTGCTTATTAGTTTCACTCTGTCCGTCCGTCCGTCCGTCTGTCCGTCCGTCCGTCCGTCCGTCCGTCCGTCCGTCCGTCCGTCCGTCCGTCCGTGTGTCTGTTTACAAAACTTCTACACCCTTGAAGATAGAAAGCTGAAATTTTGTACGTACATAGATTTTTACTAGAAACTTATTTTCGTGGAACAAAATTTTTACCTATCTCCCCCCCTTTAGAAGTTATACCCCCCCAAAACTCTAAAAATGCCATTCTTTAACTATTTAGTGCAATGAAACCATAAGGATTTTTCAAATTTTGCAAACGCAGAAAGGCAGTGGCTTACTTCCCCTAGCGGGGTATACTAAAGGTTAACTTTAGAAAAACAAAATGGCCGCTCAAATTTACCGTTATCTAAAGTCCGTTTTTTCCAAATTTTTGATGTCGTTTATTTTCTAGACCCCAGCCTGTAGAAGCTTGAAATTTTATGGGCTTTTAGACATTAACAAATAGTTCATTTCGTTAGAAGAAAATTTTTTTCCATCTCCTTCCCCTCTCAAGTTATGGCCTCTTGAAATTTGTAAAATTTGAATTTTTGACACCTTATATTTCCGAAACCGCAAGCTTTTTCAAATTTCTATAAACACAAAAACCTAACGGTAAATTCCATGAAATTAAAAAATATAATTATTTTTCTTAACTCACATAATTAAACCTTAAAATCGAGCATTATGTTAACCCCTTTTTATATTAATTTTTGCTTTATTTCAAACACTGCATATATGCGTCATCCTAAATATATGCAATTCTAGAAATAGTTTTGTATATGAATGAAAATAATTTTAATAGTTTGATAGGTATACATAGACTGTATTTAAAAGCAGAATTTTCACTTGCTGAAGGGAAAAGTGCTACAATACAAACCATTGGTTTGACCCAACTTTATTTACCATATCTACGGAACGAATTGATAGAATTTCTTGAAATTTGATATTTGATCTCTGGTTGTTACCAAAACTAACTAGCGAGCATTTCAGGAAATTCGGGTAGCACAAAGCGAAACTTACTAAGAGCCACATTTACATTTTTCTAGGTATGTTAACTATAAGCTTACTAATGCCCTAAAAATTGGAAAGAAGTATTTAACAGGCATTTTTATAATCGTCTGTAATACTTTCACTTAACAAGGCAATACACATTGCGGTCGGATATGTGCTGATCACATCAAATATTTTATTATAAGTAATAATTTTAAAAATTTTTAAAAACCATACGAATTGACTTTTTTTTTAATTAAAATGCCGTGAAACTTCCTTCTTCAGAAACCTGCGGAAGAATCTTTTTTTTGTTTTGAAACTTCTTAATTACGATAGTATTATAATATCACTGTTTCATACAAATTATTAAATATTATGTTAAATAATAGAAATAACGGTTTAGAAAATTTGATTTAAATGTTAAAAATTTAATTTTTCTTGTTTTTTTTCCGATAGATTCTAATTGAAATTTTCTATAAAATATTGTTTTTATTTTTGTTCCTTAATTTTAATCAACCGATTTTTCATAACCAAACTCGCTTTACAGTACAAGTACTTATGTATTTATTACATTTTCTTTATATGGTTTCCTTTAGTTTTCTTTTTAATTTTTAAAATTTGGTAATACTGTTTTATTTTTTTTTACTCTTTTACTCGTCATATGAAACAAGCCTTTCCAACTCTAAAACAAAAAAATCTTAAGAAACGATAAGTCTATGAGGAGAGAATTAAAAAAGAAACGAATACATTTTGAAACCCTGTTTAAATTTAAGAATTATGTATGTATATAAAGTTTTGCTTTTTTTTAACAACAATAAATTTAGTTTTTCTTTGGTTTGTTTTCTTTCATGTTATTCAATCTGGTTTTGGAAATGGATCTCGTAAATTTTAATACAATGTAAATGTGTTTTATATTTTCTAATTTTTCTGCTTGTGTTTTTTTGTTGAAGAAAACTTATATGTTTGGGTATCGTAATTTTATGAAATTGATATAATAACTTTTGTTACATTTTATAAAAAGCATGAAATATTCAAGATTTATTGTTACGTCTTTATTAAAATAAGCAGAATAAATTATATAATTTCAAACTGGGCTTACGAAGAAAAAAGAACGAAAAGAACCTAAAAAATAAATGAACTCTTGAAGTATAAAAATCTTCTTTTTTTTAATTAAAAATTATTTTACAAACATTTTAGAGAAATCTGTACAAAATCTAACCATTCAAATCGCTTT